GAGTTTAATTAAGAAAAATCTTTGGATGTTATTGATTTTAAGTTCAGAAATAATGGAAATGATATTTTAAAACGATGTTTTCTGGGACAATCACAGTTGATGAGGTTAGATCAGGAACGATAGTTTATTATTCGACAGTTTATAGGTAATAGTTAACATGGGAATAGTTGTAGCAGTCATGATAGTTACTGTAAACTATCAAGCAAAACCTGATAGTGCGACAGTACTATCAAGATAACCATTATACAATAGCACAGAAACACGATAAGAGTAGCTGTAATTGTTGCCGCCATGGCAGAGAATGTCGGGATAACTCGTGTAAATGTGGCATGAATGTATTTGTTAAACCTTAATCATTCCTATGAGTTTATAAAACATTGTAAATTAAAATTCAAACCTATTTTATTCACTACGCTGTAATAGTGTATAAATTGACTATAAATCACTGAACGTTTGCAGGCGAAGTTATTCATACAAGGTTGTTTTATGGGCAATAATTTATAACTTCATTCCCTCCGAATCAAACACCAATTTTTCTCTCAAAACAAACCCTAATCAATCATTTTTATGTTTAGACTTGCGGAAAATGTGTCTGATCATATTTAGCTCTAAACCTAGGGACTTCTGTTATCAGTCTACCAATTCAGCCAAGCGAGGGAGGGAATCTATCGCTTCATTAGATTTAATGAAAACCTGTAGGTTGAGCGTGAGATCACCAGACAAAACATTTGGTTCAGCAACTCGCCTACAATTATCTACAGACCAAAAGGACTATCCTTCATTAATTAATACTATTCTTTTATTCATTTTTTAAATAACAGAAAAAGTTGAAAAAAAAATGCTAACAACTTGAATAATAACATAGTACCAATATTACAAGAAATATATACTATTTCAACTGCTGAATGTAGGTTCTCATAGGAGATAATACTGTTAACACTACTAACATGCTACTGAAATTTTTACTCGACGATGCGTTTTAGATGTTTGAGTGACGGCTGTAACTGTATGTAACAATTTTTTGAGCAAACGGCTCGATCGATTTTCAAGTTCGATGGCCCAAATTAATCATTGAATGTTTTGAAATAATTTGAGCCCCAAAATACTGACAAAGCAATTATATAAAATGTGATTAACCAATCCAGAAAAAGCTACGCAACAATGTTTTCAAAAATATAGCTGGACCAATTATTAGGTTCTATGATTCCAAATATTCTGTGAGTTTTGAAATAGTTTGAGCTCAAAATATGGACGAAAAAAAAAAGTTATTATATCATAAGTATTCTTAATCTCAATTTATAGACTGAAAGGTAGAAGAGATCATTGAATAAAAATAAGTAAGTGACTATATTTGTGCTGAATATATATATTGTCAATGTTTGAAAAAAAAATAATGTACCACTACTCCCCACGGGCGGATCTACGGGGGGGAGGGCTTTCGAGCTGAAGCCCCTCCCCCATAATGGTAAAATATAACCATGTTTTATGGAAAAATATATTAAAAAATAATCTCTTAAAGTATTATTATTCCTGTAGTTACATATAAAAGGACTCACCAAATCACTTAAACACCATTTCATATAGGTAGTTAGTTTCTTTCTTTTTTTCCAAAGTAATTATCGTCATTTTTATAAAAAAAAAAAGCTTTCGGGTTGAAGGGGGGGGGACCAAATTAAATCCTGGATCCGCTAGTGCTATTCCCCATGAAGGGTATTGAGTTCAGTACTTTTGTAAGTACTATTTCTTAGTCTATGGTTGTGGAAGGAGGTGATTTAACCGAGAACACGCTTAACATCAAAATGTAAATAACAAAAACACTGGTGACATTTTTGATACGAGCATGGTTAATAGCAATATTAGTAATATTTTGCTATTGACCGATTTTCTAATTCACCAGAATGTTAACAAGCAGAACGCAATTAACATTTTGCTAATTACAATGTTGCTGGATTTTGGTTATTATTAATAATAGGATATCAAATCCAAAATCTAGTCCTCCGTAAGAATATAAAATTTGAATTATTTATTTCACACATTTTATTTATAAACTTTCACAAATCTAAAATAAAATAAAGCATGATTTACGCTTTTTATGTCATACTTCATATACAAAAATATTACTATGTTCATAGTCATGTTAATAATCGTATGTTATATCATCTTAAAATATCATGTTGATAAAGTTCGTTGATAGGTATTGCCTAGGGCAGGATGGCTGTTTGGTCGTGTTAACCTTTGATTAACCTTACAATGTCTTCAATTTAGCGTGTTCGTTATTGTTTCTAAACTTGAAAGAATCTTAAGTAATAAAGAAAATTATTTTGCATATCGGCGTTGTATATCTCGTGAGAGGGCAAGTACAGATTAGATTAAGTGAATCTTTTGTCGTATCTAGGAATTAGTCTATAGGATATAAATATAATATTAATTATCAGCAAGATATAAGATAACAGAATACTGAAAGATAACGATCGTTGAACAGACTTATATAGTAGAGCATGACGTATGTGCGATATATAGTTTGACGTATTGTCAAGGTGAAATTTTGTAGTTTAGTATAAACTATTCATTCAGTATTATATTATAGTCCGTGTTATAGACCCATTTTTATCAAATTATTAAAATCCGGCTGAAACTTCGTAAATAGCTTCATCTCACCGTAACCTACAAATATTTTAGTTACGAAAGTTCTCGAAATTGTTGTGTTTTCAATCTGGAGATCGGCAAACTTTGTCTATTTAATTAGGTACTAAAGATCCGTAAATACCCATTTGCATTCCAATTGAATTGCAAAATAACTTGAACACAAAGTTCGGAAAAAAGGTAACCTTAAAAAATATTGAGCCGTTTGTAGGCACCTATTTTTATCGATATGTGATGAAATTATCTTACGATTGAAGTGGAAAGAAAATGTGTATTTACGAGTTTTTAGTACCTAATTAAATAGACAAAGTTTTTGCCGACCTCCAGATGGAAAACACACCAATTCGAAGAATTTTCGTAAATAAAGTATTTGTAGGTTACGATGAGATGAAGTTATTTACGAAGTTTCAGCCGGATGTTAATAATTTGATAAAAAGGGGTCTGTACCACGGACTATTATTGGAAATAGTTACAATGATTAAATTTGATTCAAATAACACTGAGGAATTCCACAAATGACAGGAGAAATACTAAACACGTTATTAAATTTTGTCGAACAGTCTGGACATGCCAACTGGGTCAGACTCTATCGACACGCATCCACAGCTCATACTCGTATATATATATTTAAAGCTGATGGAGAAAGAGAAATAAATGGAAATGAAGCAGAATCATATGATAAAAATAATCAGATGAAAATAATTTATAATAATTAGATATTTTCACATAGGTTAATTTATACAAACATTTATGATTTCCATCTTACGTTATGTCACATATCATAATCTTAAATCAGTAAAAACTTTGATAAATTTTCTCTGTAATTTGAATATTGTGCACTTTATATCAAAGAGCTTAAGTGATATTTTTGCTCATATTGTAATTTTTAGCAATAAATAATGTCGAAATTCACAAAAAAATTATTGAAAGTTTATACATACATAAATCAACTTAGTGACTTATTACAATAAACTGACCAAATACTCTAATTAAATTATCAGAAATTAAAATATTAAAGAGATAAGGGGGATATGAATGCCATAAAAAAATGAATGTTTTATAATAATTATTTTTGCAAAATAGGAGATCGGTTGGACCATATTAGTCATCAGCTATCAGTTATTTTCTTAAAGTAGCCGGTTATTGTTTTCAAATTAAATATATTGATCATACAACCTTTTCCATTTCTGTTTGCTTGTATATATGAACATGTTCATATCTGAATAAAATAAAATTCAGAAAGTTTAGGTATTAATCACAATTGATTTTATAAATTGTGAGCTATTTTACAATGACGACCTAATTATCATTATATTTAGTGCTTTTATTATTTTTTTTAATAACTAATTTTTACAACTGGACAATAGATAAGTGGACAATGCCTTTTAGAAATGATGGACAACCTGCAGTTTTTTTTTTCTCGATTTCCCTAATTTGTATAACAACAGATATTATCCATTGTTATATTTTTCTGTTAATTTGCCTTTAAAAGTATCCAGAAGCTTTACTAGCCCAATTACAGATGGTAAAGGAAAGAAATTCAGACATTAAGTAAGAAATTCTGATAGTATAAAGTACTACTTTAAAAAAAAAGAAAAAAAAAAAAAAAGGAATTTCGGAAATAAGTTATTTTACAAATATCAAGAATATTAGGATATTATAAACCGTTTAATAAACTCTCTAAGTAGTTATTATGTTTAGTGAAAATAACTGGTTGTTAGTTTACTGAATGTCTAATGTTAAGTAATGTAAAGAAATCATACATTGATTGTAAGTATAATATCATAACAATAGGTAAAAGGGAACAATTATTTTAAAGAATATTCCAATCAAATGAGAATAATGTAAAATTAAAAGAGGAAAATATTTTTAGTATTTCATTATGATTTGGGAAAAGTTCCTGTTGAGTGAGGTTTATGTTATCAATAAAACAGACGATGGTTAATATTAAATAAAATTATAAGTGGAAGTATTGATTTCTTTTCTTCGTCAAGGTCTGTTTTTCGTAAGTATACTCAATTCTTAAATATATGTATTTGTTTCTTTTTTTTTTTTATCACCTTATAATAAAATATAAGACTCGTAATACATCCTAGCTTTGATGAAGGTCTGAAATGCAGGCCGAAACGTTGGAACACAATAATTTTTTTTTTGTGTTTCTAACTGTGATTGTAACCTTCAACTGGAGTGTACCAATGGAGTGTATGCTTTAGCAAAAATGTTATTCATGTGCAATCATGCACAATTTAAAATTTCGTGTAAACTTTGTATTTATTTGTATTTTGTATGGATGATTTTTTCTTTCGAATTAAGCTGGAAGACAAACAAGAAAGCGGTTACAAGAACACAATTCAGACCTATGGTGGTGAGCACGGTGAGGCTGTAGAGGAGAGCGTTGATGAAACTCCATGACCTCTGGCCGCTGTAGCTGTTCATGCCAGCCTCGAAGGCGTCCTGCAGCTGGTTCTCGAACTCCATCAGCTTCCTCCTCGCCTTCGACTTCCATTCGTCCTCCCGCAGGAAGTGGCTGCCCCGCCAGAGCTCGTCGATGAAGTCCCTCTTCACTCGCTTCACCCCGCACTTGTAATACGACTCGAATGTTCCTTCGGTGAATTTGAAGACGAAAGCACCCAGTCCGCAATAGATAAAAGCAATGACGAGATCGCTAATACATCGGTTCCTCAACTTCTTCAGCCTATCGACTTCGTGTCTGAATTCTATTTTGAATCTGACGAATTCCAGTTTCACGTCACGCTTAAATTCGCGCCATTCGAAAGGCTCACTTGGAACAATAGGCAGCGGAATTATTTCTTTTTTGTTTTTAATCTTTACTGGTTGTTCAAGAGATTCCTTCTTAGTAAAGAGAGATCTGAACCAGGACTGCGTATCTTCTTTTTTCACTTGCTTAGCTTCTTCTTCTTGTTTGAGCTCATCGAACTTGTTCTTTCCCTTTCGCTTTATCAGCTTGGCCTGTTCCAAGATCTCATTGCACTTGTCAATGAGATCCTCTTCGGAACTAGTCAGCCTGTCCTTCTCCCTCGGGGAAGACAGGCTCCTTTTTATTTCCGGATGGCGACGCTTCCTGTGTCCCGTCGAAGGACTACGCCGCGCTGGCTTCCGCACTTCCTGAACCCCCTCCACCCCCTCGTCTGCCATGACACACAGCAACCGACTGACCCAACAGCCGGGGTAAATTTAGTCTAGCACCCTCCTGCGTTATTAATAGTCAACACTCCGGCATTGCGCAAAATCGATTTTCTCTAGTTTCTAGTAGGTGCAACAGGTAGCGCTAGGATCATCCTACATTGAGCCCCAACGGATTTTAAAATCACCGAAGTATTGTTATAGTCTAATCATACTTTATCTTATCTGAAGAAAACAAATTAAAAAAAAATGACTAAAAATAATATTTACAGAATACAATATTATTTCTAAGTAAACGAGAGGCAGACATAATTTTTATATTCAATATATTTTTCCCACTAACTCAAGATATTTTTTCCACTACATTACAGATTCAATTTAACTAATTCTTGAAAAAAGAGAGAAGTAATTTAATATCCCATCTTATGTTTAGGAATTTTCAGAGAATGGCCACCATCTGATTAACATTACTGGCCAAAATACGAATACATTTTTTCAAGCTTTTTCATATTAAACAATTTGATGACGGATCGGTATGCTTGATTTTTCATGTTAGTCTGGCTAGCATAAGAAAAATAAATGAATAAATAGATGATTTCAATACATGAGAGTATATATTGATAATGATCCGTTGGTGATGGATATATCATGGATGGGAAAGCCTTATACAATGGAAACAAGAGAAGTATATAACATTACAAAGGATAATTAACAGGAGACTGACTGCATAAATAACAAGTTACAATTAGAATTATGACAAAAAACTTGAAAATTGAGTCTTACTGATGATCTAAGGACTTCAAATGTTTTACATAATGAAAACTATTAATAATTTTGAATACTTAAATATCTACGACGAGAATTGAATTGAATCAAAATTGAGATTAAAGGAATATTCTGTAGGTATTCACTGTATTTGGGATGTTTCAGAGCTATTTGATTTAATGAAAAAATGACTATTTATTTAATTTTCTTGAAATATGGATGTAGTTTGGCGTGGGGATATTTAAGGTATATGAATGTCCACTCATCCATTAATGCCAATTAAAGAAGCGGTTTATTTGATGTAAACAAGACTCACGGAATTAAATTACAAGTTATATTTAACTTGAATTTTTTAAAAATAATCTCCTAGCTAACAAATAAAATGTTTAATTAAATTTTAATTGAAATTCAAGCGTACAATCAGTTGTTTATTAGTTTGGGTCTGTAGTGTAGTTCTCTCCGATAACGCTAGAGCGCATTGTAATCACATCTGCTCACGCTAGGCCTGGCATGTATTTTTCTCGTAAATTCACTTATTTTAACACTAACTAAATGTTTATTTTCCTATTGATTTAATGAAAATTAACCCCTCTCTCTCTAGGATAAGACAAATATAAATGATTAAAAATGCACTTAGGTTTATTTAAAAATTTTCAGATATCATTAATTCAACACCAATATTGGTTTAAATTATTAACAACATTTTAATATTAATTTAATTAAATTGTATTGATTTATAATAGAAATCGGATTCAGGAAATCAAAAGTTTTCAACATAGAGTAAACCCATTTGAAATCACCCAGACCATGTTGGTCGACATTTTTTATTTTTATAATGTTTTTATCAATCATTCCATATTTATTTGAGAGTTCAAAACCGCAATTAAAAAAAAATTAAGGCTCACAGTTTTTCTCGGCGGCCATTTTTAATTTTCTTTTCGACTGAAAACATGTTTTGGGAAAATATCTGTAACTCTGGTTATTTTGTAGATATCAAACCAAAATAAAAACTGAAATAATTCAGAGTATTTTTTCTACATTTCTGTTGATCAATAGATCACCTAATAATGAAGGAAAGTAGTTTAAAAAATCATTAAAATAGACCAAAAAAGTGACTTTTAAGACTGCAAAAGTGTTACAAAGAAAAGAAAATCTCAATTTTAATTTTTTCTTCATATGTAGTCCTATCACTTTATTTCTTCCTGATGAAATTTCAATGTTGTAAACCTTGTCCTTTTTGCTTCCTCACTACCGAAGTTAGGAAAGCATTGTATATAATACGAGTTTTCAAAAATGCTCAACAAAATTAATTAAAATTGGGTGATTTCAAATGGATTGAACCCATAGTTACAAAGTCCTGAAACTATTATTTATACTGAATGTGAGCCATTTATACTATTAATCGATATTGTTAAAAGTAAGCGATTCGATTATTTTAGTCTCTTGAATCGAGCGATTGTTAAATAATATAAAAATGAATACGTCTAATATACCTCTTATTCAACATAATATCTTACACGTTAGAAGTTTAAAGGATGAATTTTATTTATTTATCACAAAGGCTGTTGAAGACTATCAACATGCCATTGAATCACTACAACAAAAAAACTGTTATTAAGTTGCTTTTCATTCAACAAAATGCTGAAAAATAGTTATATCTTTTTATATTTAAAATCGAAGAATTTTCAAATTCAAGTAGTTAGAAGTAATCTGAATAAATACCAGAATTTAATAATTTCAATTTTATTTTTTAATATTTAAAAATTTTAGTCTGAAATGAATCTTCTTTGATTTATTTCACCTTATTTAACCTGCTAACCTCGTTTTTAATAACTATACCACCACCATAAACATTTCTATTATCCATATATCTTCTAGTTCCAAGTACCCAAGAAAAAAAATCCTTATTAATTTTTTAAAGTAGTTTTACTAATATCCTCATTAAGGGTTTCAAGAAAAAATGAAAACTTTGAAGGCCTATGTTTTAATTAAACAGTCATATGATAAGTATTACTTTTTATAAATAAAAAATAAAATATTGCTACTGTTAGTGCAAAAGGTCGTATGTAACAGATTTCCATGTTTATTCTCTTTGTACTAAAGTTGACATTTTGTTATCTGCAACTGCAATAATTAGTCTGCTGCTATAAAAAATAGCCGAGGGAAATAAAATATGAAATTATACTAATAAACCAAAATGAAATACTCTATTTTTATGTTCTTCTGTAAAATTAAACTCACTTTTTACATGACCTTTTTTACTAACAGTTACGACATGTGACATATACCAAAATAATTTACTGAAGAGGAAATGTTTTAGTTTTATGTTGTTGGAAAATTTAATTTATGAACCATTTAACGGAAGTTCAAAACTTGGCTATGCGAAAAACTGCGGTCCAGCAAATTTATCGTTCCTGCAGCGGACTATATAACGATTATTTGGGGTGGCGAAGGGCTGAAACAATTATCAAATTGTAGAATATTTTGCGTGGTTAGTTTTTTATCTCTAGTTACCCCCCTCTTTTTTTTTTTGTAGCTATTAGAGTAAAAATAAATGGAGTACATGTAGTGCAGAATGCAGGAAGAAAAAAAAACGAATGGTCGACTGTAGGGACAAATGGTTGAAATAATGTTAGAGATGCAGATTTGTAACATAAATTCTCTATAATTTCCATGGCATACATTGCACGGGTTAGGCTCATATTTTCTCCAGAGTCGTGAAAATCGATCTTTACTGAAGTACAAGACAAACTATTGTGGATGTAGAAACGTTTTCGCGATTCATAACTTTCTTCGAACACTATTATCCTTTATATGTATTGTTTTGTTTTTTTATTACCCAATCTGATTTTTATGAGTTATGGATACCGGTTCATCAAATAAAGGGATTTTTTTTTATGAAAGGATTATTTATCAAGATAAATGATTTTTCCCCTTATCACCTTCACATTATTTTCCCAAACAGATACATTTATTTTGAAAATTCCACTTGTTTCAATTTTGTTTTATTGCATTTTAAAGAGGCGTGTTATTATTACTATTGTAGATTAGTTTTAGTTTTCAGTTATAGATTTTTCTAATATACCTTATTGATATCTATTTAAATATATATATATATATATATATATATATATAAATATATATATACTTGTATATATATATTTTTAAAAACTTATTATATATTTTTTTTCATTGGCGCTACACACCATGAAGATCATTGACCGCGAATTTGGTCTCCTAGATTGCATCCCGATTCCCAATTTAAAATACGAGCTAGGGTCATCTGTCCTACGCCCGGTCGGTGTCAGTTGCCTCCAGTAGGCTGACTTGGGGCGTGACTTTCCTTGATGAAAGGAAAGGTCATCCATCCAAGTGCAGTGCATTATGGATGCATTGTGCATCCATCTAGCACTTGGAGAGGCCATTAGCCACGCTCGACGTTGCTTAACTTGGATTACATATTGCAAGTGTCTTAGCCCGAAAAGCTACTGCAGCCCCCCATATATATATATATATATGGGCTAAGGCGCTTGCAATAGGTAATCCAAGTTAAGCAACGTCGAGCGTTCCTAATGGCCTCTCCAAGTGCTGGATGGATGTATATATATAAAATTTAACATATACACACACACACACACACACACACACATATATATATATATATATATATATATATATATATATATATATATATATATATATATATATGTGTGTATGTGTGTGTGTTAAATTATTAAATTAGTCAGCCAATAAACAATATATTAAATTGCTGTCTCTATGGTGAGGGAGTTATGTTAGATCTAGAAGAATCCTAAAGGCTTGGAAGTTTTCTGAGCGGTACGGAATTATTCCCTACTGAGGACACATCTCAAATATTAGCTGAGATTTCTTTTGATAAAAAATTATATGTGATTTGGAATGTAAATTAATCACTGTCAAGTTTTAATTATTTTACTAGACACAATTTGATTAATATTTTATTTATTTATAGTACTTGAACCCCCTCAGTGCTCAAACCACGCCCTGAAGATGACCCACATGTTTGGGTTGAAACGTTGGCACAAATAAAAAATTAAAATTTTTTTAAAAAAAGACTGCGTCCTGAATATTTATCACCCATTTTATTTATTTATCTGTATTATATAGGAGTACCTAAAAAGAAATATTGTTTTAACAGACTCGTGGAGTGTTCCAGCGGCCATCGACAATCCATATCCAAACAATGCTATAATTAGAGAAATAATAAAGGTATGGTGTGAGA